GGGGTGTGGTGGTGTTTATGTTTTTGTTTTGTTTTAGTTGGGGTTGATTCGTTGGAGGGGGTGTTTGGTTGTGGGGTTTGGTGGCTGTTGGGTCTTGGGTTGGGTGTTGGTTTTTTGTGGGTTGATTGTTGGTTTGTGTAGTTTGTTGGGTGGGTGGAAAATAGAGGAAGGTTAGATGTTAATAAAGGAACAATGAAAGCTTTGTTTTTTGTAGGGAAGTTTGCTTAAAATTTTTGGTAATTGAAACGAAAAATGTCAAGAGAAAAAGAAACGAACGCATTTGACATGTGAAAATGTGAGTTTAGGTAGAAGTCTCTAGAAAGGGAAGATAAATTAAGTATGTCCGGCAACCATTACACCAATTAGCGCTTAGAGGGGAAAACAGCGCGGGCTTCAGGATGGGGTCAAAGTGCATCAGTATCCGGGTATGCGACGGCTTATACTATGAAACCATAACAATTTAGAGGTTTCGGTGAACGATAGTCAGGCGCACATGTGATGGACATGTCAAGAGGAAGATAACTCCTGCTACGCACTTGAAGGGTTTATTGAAAGGACCCCCAGAGAAAAAGCGCAGAAACGGTAAAAATGCCGCGATTACGAGGCAGAGGGAGGAGTATTCATCCCCAACCACTTGTATCTGTGAAGAGCAAGGGAGAAGGAATGGAGCAAGTTATGGCCCTGAAATAGGAACCAGTGGCGCAAAAGAGCAAGTTGGGCTAGGGTGTAGGGGGATGTTATGGCCTTGAAGCCAATAACCGAAGGTATAACTGACACGGGGTAGCTCGGTTCTCGTGAGAAACACGATCAATAGATAACCAGGTTCTCTGGCTTGGGAGTTCCTGAAAGGGTTTGGCAGGGAAAAGTTCCTTGGAGGTGGGCGAATTCAACAGACTAGGTGAATGCAAAGGTGTACTGTGGCAATATCCGTATATTGCGTGGTGTTTGGGTATAAATTAGCAGAGTCGAACTTAAGCGACGCCGGCGGCTTTAGCTTGAGGTAGGATCACTTGGGTTATTATGCCCCTGAAACAAAGATGTTCCTAGACCCGTAAAATCACGAACATTATCTATTTGGGCTAAATGTTTGAGTTAAATTGGTATAGCATACCCGTATGGCGTGGAGTATCCTACATTATAGTAGTGTCTGATGGGGCAAAAATACCCAATGCAGAGAGTACATAGCCTATAAAGCATGAGAAAAACATGCGGGGGGGGAAGGGGGGGGGGGGGGGGGGGGGTTCCTGTAGTTAAATGTTGATAACAGCGGCTTTTCAGGTCGCTAGTCCTGGATAGAGGCCGGGCGGGAATTTATGATGCAGTTTGTTTTATTTCTAGGGGTGTGCTTTATTTTGGGGGGGCTGGCAGTCGCCTCCAACCCTTCTCCCTACTATGGGGTTGTAGGGTTGGTTTTGGCTTCTGTTGCTGGGTGTGGTTGATTGGTTAGTTTGGGGGTATCTTTTGTGTCTTTGGTGCTGGTTATGGTGTATCTTGGGGGGATGTTGGTGGTGTTTGTTTATTCGGTGTCGTTAGCAGCGGAGCCTTATCCTGAGGCTTGGGGTGATTGGGGGGTTGTTGGTCATGGTTTAGGGATGTGTTTGGTTGTTATGGTGGGGATTATGGTAGGTGGGGGGATAGAGGTTTTAGGGGATGTGGGGACGGTTGATAGTGGGGGGCTGTCTTCAGTTCGGCTGGATTTTAGTGGGGTAGCTGTGTTTTATTCGTGGGGGGCCGGGCTGCTTTTAATTGGGGGGTGAGGCCTGTTGTTGACTTTATTTGTGGTGCTGGAGCTTGTGCGGGGGTTATCTCGTGGGGCAATTCGGGCTGTTTAGGGGGGGGCCGGTCAGAAAGTAGTTTAGTTGAAAATACCAGCTTTGGGAGTTGGTGAGGAAGGTTTGATTCCTTTCTTTCTGAGGGGTAACTCTAAGAAGGGGCGAAGTCTTCAATCTTTGGCTTACAAGACCAATGTTTTTATAAACTATTAGAGTAGATTAGAGGTTTAGTATTTTATTTTCTAGTACGGCTGCAAGTGGAAATAGGACTAGGATGATTGTGAAGTAAGAGAGGGAGGCTAGTTGGCCAATGATGATGAATGGGTGTTCAACTGGTTGGCTACCGACTCAGGTTAGGATGAAGAGGTTGGCAACTAGGGTTCAGAATAGGACTTGTGAGATAGGTCGGAAAGTTAGTGAGCGTTGTTTGGATGTGTGGAGTAAAGGGGTTAAGAATAGGACTAGTACGGATGCAGCTAGGGCTAGTACGCCGCCTAGTTTGTTTGGGATAGAGCGTAGGATGGCGTATGCGAACAGGAAGTATCATTCGGGTTTGATGTGTGGGGGAGTGGCTAGTGGGTTGGCTGGTGTGAAGTTTTCTGGGTCACCTAGGAGGTTGGGGGAGAATAGGGCTAGGGCGACAAGTGGGATGAGCATGAGTGCGAAGCCTAGGATGTCTTTTGTAGAGTAGTATGGGTGGAATGGGATTTTGTCGCAGTCCGCAGGGATGCCTAGTGGGTTGTTTGAGCCTGTTTCGTGTAGGAATGTGAGGTGAACTAGCGTGAGGCCTACAATGAGGAATGGGAGTAGGAAGTGGAGGGCGAAGAATCGGGTTAGTGTTGGATTGTCTACTGAAAACCCTCCTCATGCTCATTCTACTAGTGTCTGGCCAATGTATGGGATTGCTGAAAAGAGGTTGGTGATTACTGTGGCTCCTCAGAAGGATATTTGTCCTCATGGAAGTACATAGCCTACGAAGGCAGTTGCTATTAAGAGTAGGAGGAGAATGACTCCGACGTTTCAAGTTTCTTTGTTCAGGTAGGAGCCGTAGTAAAATCCTCGTCCGATGTGTAGGTAAATGCAGATAAAGAAGAATGAGGCTCCGTTTGCATGGAGGTTGCGGATTAGTCAGCCGAATTGTACATTTCGGCATATATGGGCGACTGAGGTGAAGGCTAAGGAGGTGTCTGCTGTGTAGTGTGTGGCTAGTAACAGACCGGTGACAATTTGTGTGATGAGACAGATGCCTAGTAGTGATCCGAAGTTTCATCAGGCTGAGATGTTTGATGGTGTGGGAAGGTCGATCAGAGCGTCGTTGATGGTTTTTAGTAATGGGTGGTTTTTACGAAGATTGAGGGCCATTAGTTGGTTCTGTGTATGGATATGAGGATAATGAGGATGGATAAGGCAAAAGAGCCTAGGTAGGCTTTGATTAGTCCGGAGTGTAGGGTGGTGGCGGCTTTGGCTGCTATTGTTTGTATGTTGGCTAGTCCTTCTGGGCCTAGGAGTTTGTATCAGGAAAGGTCGATTAGGTGGGAGGCGATGTTTTGGCCTGCGGTTAGTAGGTTTGTTACGCTGAAGCGGTGTATTAGGGGGTTGAAGTAGCCTAGTGATGTGGAGAAGTTTGAGAAAGGTCCTTGTTTTGTGAGGATTATGGTTTGGGTTATTTTTGAAATTTCTAGGGCGAGGAGGATGCCTAGGACTGTGACGGCTATGGCTGTAATTTTGATATACAGTGGTATTGTTATGGGAGGAGTTTTTGTTGGGAGGATGAAGGAGGTGATGATGAATCCGGCTGTGATGCTGCCCAGGGCCAGGCGGGTGATGGGTGAGGTTACTGCTGGGTTGTTTTCGTTTATTGGGGTTAGAGGGGGGATGCGTACGAAGCCGGCTTGTACGAGGATGGTCATGCGGATGGTATATACTGCAGTAAAGGCTGTGGCTAGGAGTGTTAGTAAGAGGGCTCAGGCATTTAGGTAGGATGTGTTAAGACATTCGATGATCTGGTCTTTTGAGTAAAAGCCTGCAAGGAATGGGGTTCCTATTAGGGCTAGGTTGCCGATGGTTAGGCATGAGGTAGTTGTTGGTAATAGTTTTTGGAGTCCTCCTATTTTTCGAATGTCCTGTTCACCATTGAGGCTGTGGATGATGGAACCGGAGCAGAGGAATAGTATGGCTTTAAAGAATGCGTGTGTTGAGATGTGAAGGAAGGCTAATTGGGGGAGGTTTAGTCCGATTGTTACTATTATAAGGCCTAGCTGGCTTGAGGTTGAGAAGGCGATGATTTTTTTGATGTCGTTTTGAGTGAGAGCGCAGGTGGCTGCGAATAATGTGGATAGGGCCCCGAGGCACAGGCAGAGGGTCAGGGCGGTTTGGTTGTTGTTGAATAGTGGATGGGTTCGGATAAGCAGGAAGATTCCGGCGACTACTATTGTGCTGGAGTGGAGTAGGGCGGATACGGGGGTTGGCCCTTCTATTGCAGCTGGAAGTCAGGGGTGGAGGCCAAATTGGGCGGATTTGCCTGTTGCGGCTAGGATCAGACCTAGGAGGGGGAGTGTAGGGGTTTGAGAGGGTGCGGGGATTTGTTGGATTTCTCAGGTGTTTAGGGTGGAGGCTAGTCATGCTATGCATAGGATGAGTCCAATGTCCCCAATTCGGTTGTATAGAATGGCTTGGAGGGCAGCGGTGTTGGCCTCTGCTCGTCCGTGTCATCAGCTGATAAGTAAGAAGGACATGATTCCGACTCCTTCTCAGCCGATGAATAGGACAAAGAAATTGTTGGCGACGATTAGGATGAGCATTGCGATTAGGAAGAGTAAGAGGTAGGTAAAGAATTTTGTGATGTAGGGGTCTGAGGCCATGTATCATGTTGCGAATTGTAGGATAGATCAGGACACAAATAGGGCGATTGGGAAGAATGTGAGGGAGTAGAAGTCTATTTTTAGGCTGATAGGGATTTTAAAGTTTATAATGTATTTCCATTCTCATAGGGTAGTTAGGCTTTCCGTTCCTGAGTGGATGTAGATTGTTATAGGGACTAGGCTGATAAGGAAAGAGGTTTTTACTGTGTTGGTAATGATGGTGGGGGTGTTTTTAAGGTTGGTTGAGAGTAGGGGGAAGATGATTGGGGTGGACAGGGTTGCTAGGGTTAGTAGTATGAATGTGTTTAGGACTAGTGATTGGTCCATTACTTTCACTTGGATTTGCACCAAGATGAGTGGTTCCTAAGACCATTGGATTGCTATTATCCTTTGAAAGTAAGGGGGCTGAGGTTTTATACTCAGATGCAAGAGTTAGCAGTTCTTGCTGGTTGAACCTCCCCTCGGCAGGTAAGAAGGATCTAACTTCTATTTTTAGAATCACAGTCTAATGTTTTGGGTTGAAACTATACTTGCATATAGGGGTGCCTGAGATAAGTTCGGGTTTGAGGATTAGGAGGAGTATTGGGATTATGTGTAGGGCTATGAGGAGGTGTTCTCGTGTGGAGGAGTTTTGGACGGATGTGATGTGGGATGGTAGGATGCCCCGCTGTGTTATTATGAGTATGTACAGGGTGTAGGAGGCGGTTAATAGTATTGCGGCCCCTGTGAGGATGAGTGTTAGGGAGGATCAGTTGAAGAGAGCGATTACGATGGTTAGTTCTGCCATAAGGTTGATTGTTGGGGGAAGTGCTATGTTGGCTAGGTTGGCTAAGAGTCATCAAGTGGCTATGAGAGGTAGTAGGGGTTGTAGTCCTCGAGCTAGTAGGAGGATGCGGCTGTGAGTCCGTTCGTAGTTGGTGTTGGCTAGGCAGAATAATATTGAGGAGGTTAGGCCGTGTGAGATTATTAGGATTATTGCTCCTGTGAAAGCTCATTGGGTTTGGATTATTGTTGCAGCTACAACTAGGCCTATGTGACTGACAGATGAGTAGGCGATTAATGATTTTAGGTCTATTTGGCGTAGGCAGATGGCGCTGGTTATTAGGGCACCTCATAGGGCTAGGGTGATGAAGGGGTAGTGGAGGTTGTTTGTTGATGGGTTTACTAGGAGGGTAATTCGTATGATGCCGTATCCGCCTAGTTTTAAGAGTAGGGCGGCTAGTAGTATGGATCCGGCAATAGGGGCTTCTACGTGAGCTTTGGGTAGTCATAGGTGTAGGCCGTATAGGGGGGCTTTCACTATGAAGGCCATTAACAGTGCTAGGCTTGATATTAAGCCTGTTCAAGAGGTTGAGATTGTTGGGTGTGAAAGTTTGAGTATTGGGAAGTAGAGGGTGCCGATTTGGTTGTGAAGGTGGAGGATGGCGATGAGTAAGGGGAGTGAGCTGGCTAGTGTATAGAATAGGAGGTAAATGCCAGCGCTTAGTCGTTCTGGTTGATTGCCTCATCGTGTGATTAGGATTAGGGTTGGGATTAGGGTGGCTTCGAATGCGATGTAGAATAGTATGAGCTCTGAGGCGGAAAAGGCTAAGAGGATTGAGGGTTGGGCTAGGATGAGGGTTGTTGCGAAGATTCGTTTGCGGATGGCTGGTTCTTGTTCTAGGTGGTTTTGGCTTGCTATGATTATGAGGGGCAATAGTCAGCATGATAGTACTAGAAGGGGGGATGAGATTTGGTCAATGGAGGTTCAGGGTGTTAGGGTTTTGCTGGGGTAGTATGTTGGGGTTAGTCATTGAAGGCTGATGGTGGCAATTAGGAGGCTGTGGGCTGTGAGGTTCGTTCATAGGTGTTTGCATGGGGAGAGGAAGGTCAGGGGGAGGAGTATAATGGTTGGGGCGATGATTTTTAGCATTGTAGGAGGTTGAAGTTGTGAAGGTGGTCGGAGCCATGAGTTCGGGTAGAGGCTACTAGTAGTGCCAGCCCTGCCCCTGCTTCGCAAGCGGAGAATGTTAGTATGATAATAGGGAGGATGGTAAAGGATGATGCTTGTATTTGGATTGGTCATATGGCTAGGGCGATGTATATTGATAGTATTATACTCTCTAGGCATAGTAGGGCGGAGATTAAGTGTGTTCGGTGGAAGGCTAGGCCTAGGCCGCTTAAAGTGAATGTTGCGTAGAAGCTTAGGTGTAAGTAGGTCATGAAGAAAGTTATAGGGTGGGCACTATAATTTGTTGAGCCGAAATCAACTGTCTTGGTTAGACTAACTTTCTGTTATTCTGCTCATTCTAGTCCTCCTTGAATTCATTCGTACACTAGGCCTAAGGTGAGGAGAAGGATTAGGGTGGAGGTTCAGGTTAGCGTGGTTGTGGGAGATTGGAGTTGTGTGGCTCATGGCAGGGGGAGTAGGAGGGCGATTTCTAGGTCAAAGAGCAGGAACAGAATTGCTACTAGGAAGAATCGAATTGAGAATGGGAGGCGAGCGGAGCCTAGTGGGTCGAATCCGCATTCGTATGGGGATAGTTTTTCTGAGTCTGGGGTTATTTGGGCCAGTCAGAAGTTTAGGGCGGTTAGGGCAATGCTCAAGGCCAGGGATAGGGTAAATATAAACATGATTATGTTCATTGCTCTTCTCTGGGTTTAAACCAGATTTAAAGGATTGGAAGTCGATTGTAATAAATATACTAGAAGAGCAGGAACCTCATCAGTAGATAGAAATGTAGAGGAAAAGTCAGACGACGTCTACGAAGTGTCAGTATCATGCTGCTGCTTCGAAGCCGAAGTGGTGGTTGGATGTAAAATGGAATTTGATTAGACGAAATAGGCATACTAGGAGGAATGTAGAGCCAATGATTACATGCAGGCCATGGAATCCTGTGGCAACGAAGAAAGTTGAGCCGTAGACCCCGTCTGCGATGGAGAAAGGGGCTTCGTAGTATTCTATGGCTTGAAGGCCTGTAAAGTAGAAGCCTAGGAGGACTGTTAGGGCGAGGGCCTGGATTGCTTGTTTTCGGTTGGCTTCTGTGATGCTGTGGTGGGCTCATGTGACTGTGACCCCTGAAGCTAGTAGGATGGCGGTGTTTAGGAGGGGGACGTCTATTGGGTCTAGGGGTTTGATTCCAACGGGGGGTCATTGGCCTCCTAGTTCTGGGGTGGGGGCTAGGCTTGAGTGGAAGAATGCTCAGAAGAAGCCTAGGAAGAAGAAGGCTTCTGATGTGATAAATAGGACTATGCCGTATCGTAGGCCTTTTTGGACGGTAGGGGTGTGGTGGCCTTGGAAGGTGCTTTCACGTACAATGTCGCGCCATCATTGGAATATGACTAGGATGGTTGAGATGAGTCCGATGATTAGGAGTTGGGGGGAATTGTAGTGGAATCATATAGTTAGGCCAGAAGTGGTGAGGAGAGCGGCAGCTGCTCCTAGGATGGGTCATGGGCTGGGGTCTACTATGTGGTAAGAATGTGCTTGGTGTGCCATTGGTACTAGATGTTTTCTTGTAGGTAAAGGCTTAGTAGTAGGACGAAAACGTAGGCTTGGATTATGGCTACTGCTACTTCTAGGATGGTTAGAAGTAAAAGAACTAGTAAGGCTAGTAGGGATACTGCTGGTATTGTTGAGAATAGGGCTATTGTGGCGGTGGAGATGAGTTGAATGAGGAGGTGGCCTGCGGTTAGGTTGGCGGTTAGGCGGACGCCTAGGGCTAAGGGGCGGATGAGGAGGCTTGTTGTTTCGATCATAATTAGGGCTGGGATCAGGGGCGTGGGGGTGCCTTCTGGGAGGAGATGGCCTAGGGAGGCGGAGGGTTGGTTTCGCAATCCTGTTAAGAGTGTGGCGAGTCAGAGGGGGAAGGCTAGGGCTAGGTTTATGGATAGTTGGGTGGTTGGTGTGAAGGTATAGGGCAGGAGGCCTAAGAGGTTGATCAGTAGTAGGAAGACTATAAGGGATGTTAGGATTAGGGCTCACTTGTGGCCTTTTTTATGGAGTGGTATTATTAGTTGTTTTGTGATTAGGTTGATAAACCATAGTTGTAGGGTTGAGAGTCGATTGGTGACCCATCGGTTGCCAGGGGAGGGGAGGAGTAGGGCTGGGAATAGCATTGAGATTAGGATTAGAGGGATTCCTAGTAGGGAGGGGCTTGAAAATTGGTCGAAGAAACTTAGGTTCATGGTCAGGTTCAGGGGGTGGTTTTGGGTGTTGTGGGTGCCTTGCTGGATGGTGGGTTTATGGTGATGAATGTCAGTAGCTTGGGTTGAATGATTAGGGAAAAAGTCAGTCATGAAGTGAGCATGATAAAAAATCAAGGGTTTGGGTTTAGTTGAGGCATGTCATTAAGGAGGAGTCAGTCCTCTTTCTCTAGCTTAAAAGGCTAGTGCTGTTTCATAGCTTCTTAATGATTAGGAAGCTTGTAGGGAAGATCAGTTCTCAAAGCTGGCTAGAGGGGTTGATTCGACTACGATTGGTATGAAGCTGTGGTTGGCTCCGCAGATTTCTGAGCACTGTCCGTAGTACACTCCGGGGCGAGAGGCAAGGAAGGAGGTTTGATTGAGTCGTCCTGGAATTGCGTCGGTTTTTACGCCGAGGCTAGGAACGGCTCATGAGTGGAGTACATCGTCAGCAGTGACGATGACTCGAATTTTGGATTCTGTTGGTACGATGACGCGGTGGTCGACTTCTAGTAGGCGGAAGTGACCGAGGGGGAGATCGGATGTGGGGATTATGTAGGAGTCAAATGTAAGGTCTTTGAAGTCGGTGTACTCGTATGATCAGTATCACTGATGTCCGATGGCTTTTAGGGTGAGGTCTGGTTCATTTACCTCGTCCATTATGTAGAGGATTCGTAGGGAAGGTAGGGCGAGTATAACTAAGACTGCAGCGGGAAGGATTGTTCAGACAAGTTCAATTTCTTGGGCATCTACGGTGCTTGAGGATAGTTTTTCTGTGAGTATCAGAGCCAATAGGTATAGGACTAGGGTACAGATGGCTAGGGCGACTATTAGGGCGTGATCGTGGAATTGTACGAGCTCTTCTATGATGGGTGATGAAGCGTCTTGGAATCCGAATTGTGAGTGGTTGGCCATTGTAGGATGAGGTGTACAGGGGTTTCACCTGTGATTTAGCCTTGACAAGGCTATGTAAATACTTTACTAACATCTCTATGAGAAAGAAGCATAAGTGGTTTATATGCGGTTGGCTTGAAACCAACATATGGGGGTTCGACTCCTTCCTTTCTTGGACTTGAACGAAGGCTGGTTCTTCGAAGGTGTGGAATGGAGGTGGGCAGCCGTGGATTCATTCAACGTTGGTGCTTGTTAGTTCTGGTTGAAGTGCTTTACGTTTTGATGCTAGGGCCTCTCAGATGATGAATGCTAACATAATTACAGCTGTTAGGGAGATTAGTGAGCCGATAGAGGAGATAGTATTTCATAGTGTGTAGGCGTCTGGGTAGTCTGAGTATCGTCGTGGCATGCCGGCTAAGCCTAGGAAGTGTTGGGGGAAGAAGGTTAGGTTGACGCCTACGAATATTACGCCGAAGTGGGCTTTGGCCCATGTGGAGTGGAGGGTGTAGCCGGTGAATAGGGGGAATCAGTGGGTGAAGCCCGCTAAAATTGCAAATACTGCGCCTATTGATAGGACGTAGTGGAAGTGGGCTACTACATAGTAGGTGTCATGCAGGGCGATATCTAGTGAAGAGTTTGCTAGGACGATCCCTGTTAGTCCTCCAATGGTGAATAGGAAGATGAATCCTATGGCTCATAGTATTGGTGGATCTCATTTGATTGTGCCTCCGTGTAGTGTTGCCAGTCAGCTGAATACTTTGATTCCTGTTGGAATGGCAATAATTATAGTAGCAGATGTGAAGTATGCTCGAGTGTCTACGTCTATCCCTACTGTGAATATATGGTGGGCTCAGACAATGAATCCTAGGAAGCCAATAGATAGTATAGCTCACACTATTCCTATGTACCCAAATGGTTCTTTTTTTCCTGCGTAGTAGGCTACGACGTGAGAGATGATTCCGAATCCTGGGAGAATTAGGATGTACACTTCTGGGTGTCCGAAGAATCAGAAAAGATGCTGGTAAAGTACAGGGTCTCCTCCTCCTGCAGGGTCGAAGAAGGTAGTGTTTAGGTTACGGTCTGTAAGAAGCATGGTAATGCCAGCGGCAAGAACTGGTAAGGATAGGAGGAGTAGGACTGCTGTGATTAGGACGGATCAGACGAATAGGGGGGTTTGGTATTGTGAAAGGGCGGGTGGTTTTATATTAATTGCTGTGGTGATAAAGTTGATAGCGCCCAGGATAGAGGAGATACCTGCTAGGTGGAGGGAGAAGATGGCTAGGTCTACTGAAGCTCCGGCATGGGCTAAGTTACCGGCGAGAGGGGGATATACAGTTCAGCCTGTTCCTGCTCCTGCTTCAACGGTGGAAGAGGCTAGAAGGAGTAGAAAGGATGGGGGAAGAAGTCAGAAGCTTATGTTATTTATTCGGGGGAATGCCATGTCTGGGGCTCCGATTATTAGAGGGACCAGCCAGTTTCCAAACCCTCCGATTATGATTGGCATAAATATGAAGAAGATTATGACAAAAGCATGGGCTGTGACAATTACGTTGTAGACTTGGTCGTCTCCTAGTAGGGCGCCAGGTTGGCCCAGCTCTGCTCGGATAAGGAGGCTTAGGGCGGTACCCACTATTCCGGCTCATGCGCCGAAGATTAGGTAGAGGGTATCAATGTCTTTGTGGTTGGTTGAGAATAGTCATCGGTTAATGAATGTCACAGGTAAGATGGCTGAGTGTATAAGCGTTAGGCTGTAGTCCTTTTTACAGAGGTTTAATTCCTCTTCTTATCGGCCCTGTGGTGAAGTTCATGGTGAGTTGCAAGCTCATTGATGTGCGCTGATTGCGTGCCGGGGCCTTAGGCAGACGCCTGTTGGTTTGGGCATATAGCTGTTAACTATAGTGTTATGGGATCGAGGCCCATCTGTCTAGGTTTAAAGGTTCTAGCTTAAGTTAAAGTATCTGGGTTGCATTCAGAAGATGCAGGGTAGTGTCCTGCGAATCTTAGCAGAAACTAAGAGGGTTTAACTCTTGTTTAAGGCTTTGAAGGCCTTCGGTTTAAGGTGATCCTAAGTTTCTTAGATAATAGTGAGGATTATTGGGGAAATTGGAAGGAGGGAGGTGGATATAGTGGCCAAGATGGCAATTGAGGTGTTAGTTGGTTTGTTAGTGTGTCATTGTTTTATGTGGTTCGTGGTGTGTGGGGGAAGTGTGATTGTTGCGCAGTATGCGAGGCGGAGGTAGAAGAACAGGCTTAATAGTGAGAGAAGAGCAATGATTGTTGCTGCTGGGGCTATATTTTGTTTAGTAAGTTCTTGGATGATAAGTCATTTGGGGATGAAGCCTGTTAGTGGGGGGAGTCCTGCTAGGGAAAGTAGGGTTAGGAGTAGTATTGCATTTAGTGAGGGTGCTTTTGTTCATGTTGTTATGAGTGTGGAAAGTTTTAGGGTTTTGATTGTGTTGAGGGTTAAGAATACGGCTGCGGTTATTAGGGCGTATAGGTAGAAGTTTAGTAGGGTAAGTTTAGGGTGGTAGTCAATGATGATGGTCATTCAGCCTAAGTGTGCGATAGAGGAGAAAGCCAGAATTTTTCGGATTTGTGTCTGGTTTAAGCCTATTCATCCACCCAGGGCTGCGGAGGAAACAGCTATGCAGGTTAGTAGGGTGGGGTTTAATGAGTGGGAAGTTATGTAAAATAGTGTCATTGGTGGGAATTTTATGATTGTAGATAGGAGTAAGCCTGTAGTGAGAGGGGAGCCTTGCAGGACTTCTGGAAATCAAAAGTGGAATGGGACCAGTCCTAGTTTTATTGCGATAGCAGAAGTTAGGATTAAGCAGGAGGTTGGGTGTGTAAGTTGAGCAATGTCCCATTGTCCGGTGTATCATGCGTTGGTTATGCTGGAAAATAGCATTAGAGTGGAGGCAGCTGCTTGGGTTAGGAAATATTTAGTTGCGGCTTCGATAGCCCGTGGATGATGCGACTGGGCAATCAGGGGTAGGATGGCTAGGGTATTAATTTCAAGGCCGGCCCAGGCCATGATTCAATGGTTGCTTGAGATTGTAATGCTTGTACCAAGGATTAGGCTGGTGGCGAAAATTAGTTTTGCTTGGGGGTTCATTAGCAGGGGAAGGAGTTGAACCATCATTTTCGGGGTATGGGCCCGATAGCTTGTTTAGCTGACCCTACTAGCTAGAAAATAATATAAGGGGAGTATGGAGGACTTTGATTCCTTCAGTGTAGGTTCGAATCCTGCTTTTCTAAGTCTTTAGGAAATGAGAGGGTTGGTGCACCTCTGTGTTCACTTTATCATAGTGACCCTTAGTTCTCAGGCACATTTCCGGCCGGGGGGGGTCTTAGGTAGGGGGGCAGGCCTGCATAGCAGATTGGTATGCTGGTGTGTCATAGACATAGGGCAAGTGTGAGCGGTAGGAAGTTTTTTCATAGTAGGTGTATTAGTTGGTCGTATCGAAATCGTGGGTAGGAGGCACGAATTCATAAGAACCCTGCTGATAGTAGTAGGGCTTTTGTAGCGAGGATGATGGGGTACAGTTCTTGGGGTGGATTGAACATGCTTGGGTTGAAGAATAGGATGGCAGTTAGTGTGTTTATAAGTATGATATTCGCATATTCGGCTAGGAAAAATAGGGCGAAGGGTCCCGCTGCATACTCTACGTTGAACCCTGAGACTAGTTCGGATTCGCCTTCTGTTAGGTCAAAGGGGGCCCGGTTAGTCTCAGCAAGCGTAGAGACATACCACATTATGGCTAGTGGTCAGCAGGAGAAAATTAAGTAGAGAGGTTCTTGAGTGACTGAGAGGGTGCTAAGGGTGTAATTGCCGCTGAGCAGGATGACAGATAGTAAGATAATAGCTAGGGTCACCTCATAAGAAATAGTTTGGGCTACTGCTCGTAATGCCCCAATTAGGGCGTATTTTGAATTGGAGGCTCATCCTGATCATAGAATAGAGTAGACTGCTAGGCTTGATATGGCTAGGAGGAATAGTAGGCCCAGGTTTAAGTCTGCAAGTGAGAATGGTAGTGGGAGTGGGGTTCAGATGGAGATTGCAAGGAGAAGTGCCAGTATGGGGGTGGCAATGAATAGGATGGGGGAGGATGTTGATGGGCGAATCGGCTCTTTGATGAATAGTTTTACTCCGTCTGCTAGGGGCTGAAGCAGGCCGTAGGGTCCGACAATGTTTGGGCCTTTTCGGCCCTGCATGTAGCTTAGGATTTTGCGTTCGACTAGTGTGAGGAAGGCTACTGCGATTAGAATGGGGAGGATGTAGGAGAGGGCTATGATAAGGCTGATTAAGATGGGATGGTTGGTCATGGATTAGCTAGGGAGAGGATTTGAACCTCTGAGTTAAAGGACTTAAGCCTTTTGCATTTGCCGAGCTCTGCCACGCTAGCTGTGCCCTTTTCTAGGGTGTGGTGGAGTGTGATAGCCTTTTGTGGTTAAGTTGGTTTCATCACTTAAGGCGAAGGCTTGCTAGTGGTATTGGCCTCACTTTTCCTCTCCTTTCGTACTGGGAAGAGTTCGTCATAGATAGAAACCGACCTGGATTGCTCCGGTCTGAACTCAGATCACGTAGGACTGTTAATCGTTGAACAAACGAACCCTTAGTAGCTTCTGCACCACTAGGATGTCCTGATCCAACATCGAGGTCGTAAACCTCCTTGTCGATATGGACTCTTAAAGGAGATTGCGCTGTTATCCCTGGGGTAGCTTGGTCCATTGATCAATTATATTGGGTCTGGGTACTATTAGCACGTTGAGGGGTTGCTCTTAGTCTAGAGGAATGGTCTAGTTTTTGGAGGATTTGTTTTTCTCCAAGGTCGCCCCAACCGAAAAAATGCAGGCCAGTGGCTTGTATGTTAGTGGGCCCGGTGGGTGTGTATGTGATTTGGGGTGGCTGCTGTTTTTGAAGTTCCACAGGGTCTTCTCGTCTTATGGGTTTATCCCTGCTTTTGCACAGGGAGATCAATTTCACCGATTGCCTGCAAGAGACAGTTAAGACCTCGTTTAGCCATTCATACTAGTCTCGATTTATGGGACAATTGATTGCGCTACCTTTGCACGGTTAGGATACCGCGGCCGTTAAACGTTAGGTCACCGGGCAGGCATCACCTTCAATACTTGCTTTGGTTTGCTGAAGGCTATGTTTTGGTAAACAGTCGGGCCTTGATGGTTTGCCTAGTTCCTTTTGCAGGTTTTAATCTTTCTTAATGGACGCTCCTCTGTCGGGTTAACAATGTGTGTAATACTCTGCTTGTTTGATTGGTCGTATATTGGGGTTTTGTTAATAATGTATAGATGTAAGCTTGCGTCGTAGAGGGTGGACCCTGGTTACTCATTCTAGCATTAATTCTCCTATCTGGTTATAGGTTGGCCTGTTAGTGGGGAGGGATTCATAAGGTTTAGGTATTTTTGGGTACGGAGCTTTAACGCACTCTTTGTTGATGGCTGCTTGAAGGCCCACAATAGGTTTTGTTCAGGTTATTTATCCGCTCGTGGAGATTGTATTCTTTTTTAAAGGAGCTGTACCCCCTTTAAATAGCCCTTAATTCGGTTCATTGGGGTTCGTAGTTTCCTTGGGGAAGAATTAAGAGTGAACTTAGATTCGTTTCACAGGCAACCAGCTATCACCCAGCTCGATTGGCTTTTCACCTCTACCCACAAGTCATCCCACTCTTTTGCAACAGAGACGGGTTCGCTCAATAATAGCTGCTCATGGGTAGCTCGCTTGGGTTTCGGGGTGGCAAACTGAAATTCATTTTGCTTGGTTTTTCTTGCTAGACCATGATGCAAAAGGTACAAGGGTTGATCTTTGCTGTTTATAGCTTGGCTTGTTCATTGTTATTTCATCTTTCCCTTACGGTACGTGGTCTCTATCGCTCCAATGGTGTCTTTTCTATCGCCTATACTAGGACTAGCAAATGCTTTGGTTAGGTTTAGTGGAGTAGCTTTGTTATTCCAGGTCAATGTAGGTTGGGCTAGAGTTTGGCATCAAGACGACCCGGTGTGAGCGGGCATCTTTCAGGTGTAAGCTGAATGCTTTTGTTAAAGCTACGTCTTGGTAGTCTAAGTGCACCTTCCGGTACACTTACCTTGTTACGACTTACCTCATCTTTAGCTGGATGGCTTATTAGTTATAGGGTGTGTTGGTCGCTTGCGAGGAGGGTGACGGGCGGTATGTACGTGCCCCAGAGCCGGCTTAAAGAGGGCTCGATTGTCCCACTTTACTGCTAAATCCTCCTTCCAGGGGCTATTTCAAGCCCCTTTGCCGTATGTTCTAGTTTAGAAAATGTAGCCCATTGCTTCCATTCCATAGGCTATACCTTGACCTGTCTTATTAGCGTGGTTGGGCTATTGCGCTCACTGTTGGGCTGTCAGGGAAGGTGAGCTGGCGACGGCGGTATATAGGCTGTTATTGGCAAGGAATGGTCAGGTAATATCGTGGATCATCGATTACAGAACAGGCTCCTCTAGGTGGGTTTGGGGCACCGCCAAGTCCTTAGAGTTTTAAGCGTTTGTGCTCGTAGTTCTCGGGCGGATGTTCCGGTAAGATCGAGCATCAAGATTTACGGCCAGGCATAGTGGGGTATCTAATCCCAGTTTGGGCCCTGGCTTTCGTGGATTTCAATTGATCGTTGGTCTAAGATCTTCTTTGGTGGAGGCCTTATGGGCATCTTGGGCTTATGACAGCTTAGTTGCCTTTTAATCTTAGCTACTAGGATAACATGTGACCACGCTTTACGCCGTTATAATGTTAATTTGGGTCTCCTGTATGACCGCGGTGGCTGGCACAGGATTTACCGACCCTGATTTGCTATGACTAAGTCAAGTTTACACTCATTGCTTAATATTAACTACTGCTGAGAATCCGTGGGGACGTGGCAATTGCTAGGCGTCTTGGGCTACGGGTGTGGTGAGCCTGATGCCCGCTCCTATCTACTTGGGGTTTAAGGTGTCCAGGGCATCTACACTGGGGCGCGGATACTTGCATGTATAAACCTAGCAACAACTAACAGTAAGGTTAGGACTAAGTCTCTTGTCCTTGGGTGCGGAGGGGCAGCCGTCTTGGCATCTTCAGTGCCATGCTTTTTGTAAGCTACAGGGAC